CTTTCATCCAGAATTTTCTCTATTCCACCTATAATTTTAATTTGGGGGTCTAACACTTTATGGGAAATATTCATTAAAAACCGACCATTATGAAGGTATATAGAATTTCCCATTACTTTGTTAACCTATTTACTAATTTACTAATTTTTGAGAGAGTCTTATTTTCAACTAAAAGACAAAAGCACACAGAATCCCCAACAACAGAGCAATAGATAAACGACCTCTGGTATATTCATACAATGAAATTGTATGTATTAATAAACAACAATAAGAACTCTCAAACACTGCAAGACATAGACAAGACTAGAAAACATTATTCTTAGCAAGCTCAGTAAATCTTACAAACATAAATATTTAATATCACCATTATTATCAGGAAAAACAAAGAAGAAGAAACATGGTTTATACACCACCAAACAACAAAAAAACGTTGACAACTACAATAAGGCCAGAGAAAGCTGTAGGAACAAAGAGGATGCAGGCAAGTATTAGGGGAAGGAGGTGGGACAACGGGGGCTGGGAGTGCGGGGAGGGTGTGGCAAAATACAAGCCACATATATTCAGGCTTTAAAAAGAAATCACTTTATTGGGGGCTCATACAACTCTTATCACAATCCATACATACATACATTGTTTCAAACACATTTGAACATTCATTTCCCTAATCATCCTCAAAATATTTGTTTTCTACTTGAGCCCTTGGTATCAGCTCCTCATTTTTTTCCCTCCCTCCCCACTCCCCCCCGCTCCGATGAACCCTTGATAACTTGTAAATTATTATTATTTTGTTATGTCTTACACCGTCCGACGTCTCCCCTCACCCACTTCTCCACTGTCCGTCCCCCAGGGAGGAGGTTATATGTAGATCCTTGTAATCTGTTCCCCCTTTCCACCTCACCTTCCCTCCACCCTGCCTGTATCACCACTCTCACCACTGGTCCTGAGGGGGTTCATCTGTTCTGGATTCCCTGTGCTTCCAGTTCCTATCTGTACCAGTGATCATCCTCCAGTCCAGCTGGATTTGTAAGGTAGAATTGGGATCATGATAGTGATGGGGAGGAGGTATTCAAGAACTAGAGAAAAACTGTATGTTTCATCATTGTTACACTGTCCTCTGACTGGTTCACATCCACCCCCTGGCCCTTCTGCAAGGGGATGTCCAATTTCCAACAGATGGGCCCTGGGTCCCCACTCTGCATTCCCCTTCATTCACAAGGCTATGATTGTTCTTTTTTTTCTTTTTTTCTTTTTTTTGTCTTTGATGCCTGATAACTGATCCCTTCAACACCTTGTGATCTCACAGGCTGGTGTGCTTCTTCCATGTGGGCTTTGTTGTTTCTCAGTTAGATGGCCACTTGTTTATCTTCCAGCCTATAGGACCCCAGATTATATATCGTTTGATAGCCAGGCACCATCAATTTTCTTCACTGCATTTGCTTATGTACCCACTTTGTCTTCAGTGATCATGTCAGGTAGGCTGGTGTGCTTCTTCCATGTGGGCTTTGTTGTTTCTCAGCTAGATGGCCAACTGTTTATCTTCAAGCCTTTAAGACCCCAGACGATAGCCAGGCACCATCAGCTATCTTCACCACATTTACTTATGCACCTGGTTTGTCCTCAGTGATTGAGTCGGGACAAGCTGGTGTGCTTTTTCCATGTGGATTTTGTTGTTTCTCAGCTAGATGGCTGCTTGTTTATCTTCAGGCCTTTAAGACCTCAGATATTATCTTTATAAATTAAATTTTTTTTCTTTCTTTTTTTTTAATTAACTTATTCTTCTGCGGGTTATTGGTTTTCTTTTTTGTTGTCATCATTGTGTTCTCTTTTGTTGCTTTGTCTTGCTATGCCTTCCTTTTTGGTGCATATTATTATCTCTGCAGATCTATCTAGATAAGATAGGCTGGATGAACAGTCTGGAGCAGAAAACAATGGGACTGATGGTTCCAGGGGGACAAGCCAGTCAGGGTGCAGGGTATCAATGATGAAACATACAACTTTCCTCTAGTTCTTAAATGCTTCCTCCGCCCACTATAATGACCCCAATTCTACCTTACAAATCTCCAGAGGATGTACACTGGTACAGATAGGAACTGGAAACACAGGGAATCCAGAACAGATGGTCCCTTCAGGACCACTGGTGAGAGTGGTGATACCTGGATAATGGAGAGAAGGTGGGGTAGAAAGGGGGAACTGATTACAAGAATCTAGGTAGTGCCTCCTCCCTGGGGGATGGACAACAGAAAAGTAGGTGAAGGGAGACATCGGACAGTGTAAATTATGACAAAATAATAGTTTATAAATGATCAAGTTTCATGAGGGAGGGAGCAGTGGGAAGGGAAGGGGAAAAATGAGGAGTTGATATCAAGGGCTCAAGTAGAAAGCAAATGTTTTGAGAATGATGATGGCAACAAATGTACAAATGTGCTTGACACAATGGATGGATGGATTGTGATAAGAATTGTATGAGCCCCCAATAAAATGATTAAAAAATAATGACTTCTTTCTTCAAAACTTTCAATCAGAGGAAAGAAAATACTTGCCCTCAAAAATGTGATTTGTTACAAGCTTAAAAATGATTCAGCTGACTTTGCTGGAATATTACCTGCTCTGCTTCTACGAAAGCCAATTTATTTAGTCATAGTGGCCAACTCGGAAACTAGAACTAGTAGAACAGATCTTAGGATAAGTAGTTGTGACAAGATAACAAAAATCACAATATTGAAAAACGAATGTTAATCGATTCTACGTTCTATTGTAGTGATGCATTTGCTTCCCAAAGGAATTCAGTATTTTAACTATCAGTAAGACCTTAAAATATTTCAGATTCTAGCAGATAGTTTTCATCTGCTAGATTCTGTCATCTATTGACACGTACACCGAACAATGAATACACATATCACATTACTTTTGTCCTTCAGTGTTCACAAAATTCTTTCATATTACAATGTTTTTTTTATATTTACTTGATCATATGAGTCAAATTTTGTAAACTTTACCTGTGCTATTAATATATATGATTGAGGGCATGAGATAGAAGAGGAAAAATATATCGATCCCTCTTCTCCACATATTACAAAGTAGATTTTCCACTCTGAAATCTTATTCCTTACCTCCTTCCTAGTTTAATACTTGAGATAATAGATTTTATTTCCTTTGTTTTTTTCTTTTTCATGGTTTATTGAACTAACCTCTAAGTTTTTGTTTTTAACGTTCAAAAATGTTTTGTATTCATTTTACTCTTGTAACTGTAATAGCAATCTTTTTTCTTAGTAACTATTCTATGACTTTCTATTCTTCAGCTTAACACTACCTACTTTTAAATTGATAAAGTTTAACAAAATTAATAGTATAAAAATGACAATTTAATTATTTTATATATGTTCTGAATTCTCTTTTATTTTACTTTTTTATTTTATCTATTTTTAGCACTTTTCAAATTACCTTTGTTGATGCATTAATTAAATGCTCTCATTCCTTACTTGATGATTATTTAATAAATACTAGTGAGGAAAAAATGGTACTACTAGAGGGAACTTATTCTAAAACTTGCTATACTTCTGGTTGCCCTAATAATTTCACAATGAATAAAACAGACTCTTAAATAAAATAGATGCCTCAAAAATCAAAAGGTGCATATTCCAACCACGTCTTTTTCACTAAGCCATATAATGATGATACAATTGCTGGAATGGTTTTCCATCAGTCCTTACCCAGAGCTGCTAACCAACATTGGACTGTAAGTAACTGATGACAGCTAAACTCAATAAGCTAGGAGGTATGAATGATAAGATTAATAAAGGAAGGACCCAATAATTATTTAGTCAAAATCACATTCGTCACATTGCTCTCATCACTAATCCTATTAAAAATATTCTTACTTTATACTTACTATCCGTTCTCTTATTAAGAGGAAAGCATGTTATGAAGTTTCTCCCTAATTTTTCCTTGTGCAGTTTGTCTAATCTCAAGTCAGAAACATCTCCAGTTGGTGTTCATATATAATAGTTATATATAGAGAAAGAAATTTTACTTCAGATTATGGACTGTGTTATGTACTTTATTTCCTGTGAGGAAGGTATCGTTATTGTGTCAATTTCTAAGCTGAGGAAAGTAAGTCTCAAAAAAATTAAAATGTCATATTTCAGCTAATCCAAATGTCTGATACAGCATTGTTTTATTTACCACCACAAATAAAAGAATTTCCCATTAAATTATCATGAGATGACTTAAAGAATGTCAAATAATAAACAATTATTAGTCTTACCCTCTTTTGAAATATATTAAATTTGTAAATTGTTAAGCAGGGCATGCTGGCCTAGACTTCTCAAGAACAAAGCATAACAAAGCCATCTTTATCGTAAAGGCTTTAAAAAAAACACATATCATTTGGATGTCTTACATACTTTAGATATGTTTTCAGGTGAGACCGGTCCCTAGAGAAGGACATCATACTTTGTAGAGTCGAGGGGCAGCTAAAAAGAGGCAGGCAGACAAGGTGAAGGGCACAGTGGCTGCATCCATGGACCAAGCACAGGAACAATTATGAGGACAGTGCCGGGCTGGACGATGTCTCTTCTCTTGTGATAAGGCCATGCTGTGTTGGAACGGACTCAATAGCACCAACCAGCAGCAGCTATGAACAGCACGAATGGTAAGTCTATTCCCATAGATAAGGACAGTCTTGGAAACCTTCAGGGGTAGTTGTGCCCTGTCCTGTTGCATTTATTCTCTCCTATTGACTGGATGACCTTGGTTTGGGTCTGATACATCTGTATTACAGTTTTTGTTACTCACATGTAGAAATAAATGGCTCTTATACATCTTTTGCATTAAGCATGTTGGAGGGAATATTTCTAAATATCTAAAATTGTCTTCTAATGCATTTGAACACAGTGAATAACATAGTATCGATTCCTGCCTGTCATTAAATGCTTTATTTGCACCCAAGGGTAAAAAATAGCACAAAATAATGTGTTCTAGCTTTTAATTTTTTTTTAACGCAAGGGAAAGTGTGAACACGGTCCCCCACTGCCATAAAGTGTGCAGTTGTTTCCCACATTTGGGGAAATTGCAGGGGTCAGCACATCCAGAGTGCAATAGATGAGCCTCACTCTGGGAAAACCACCTTCGTGATCATGGCATCTCCCCTGCCAGGTAAGTCTAGCTGTTAATATTTCACACTATCTTTTCAATTGCAGTTTTTCTGTATTTTATTTTGTCATCAATGTTTGTTTGTTTCATTTGATATCTTAATTTTGTTTTATATGGGGGATTTTTTGGATGTGAAAACTAATGAGTCATTGACTAGGTTAATCATTACTTGGCGGTGTGGTAAGGAGAGTTAGGGGGAAAGAGGGCCTAGCAACAATGAGTACAAAAACAGAAAATGTCCTCAAAGTGATTGTGGTGATGATTACCCAGCTCTTCGGAATACAATTGAACCACCGAATTGCATGACATGTGAATTATATACAGATTAAACATTTTTTAAATAAAACTTTAAAAACTCATCCTTGAAAAAAGAAATAGAAAAAGGAAAACACTTGGTACCAGTCTCTGACACTAGACAACTTCTTGGCAATGCCGATTGGATCATGTAGGCCCTAGGACTAGGTTCCCCTCTCTGTAAATTGAAGAGCATGTGAAGAGTCCTGCTATCATGTAGAGTCCATTGGAAAGTAGTTTATTGCAGATGTAGTTAGGTTAAAATTTAATATCTTATCATTTGATTTCACCTTAGACCCATTTTAAATTTGTTCTACTTTTTTATATTTTCTATTTTTAATTAAGATTTTCATCAGCTTTACTTTGTGATTGTTGTTAGTTTTTGCTTTAGTGGAATTTGGGGGTGGCATAGGGGGCTGTTTGGGATGTTTTCTGTATATGCAATTCAGAATAGATAAATCTATTGAGACAGTAACTGGACTAATGGTTTCCTGGGAGTATGACAGGGGAGGCTAGGAGGAAATGGGGAGCTTATAACACTGAGTACAAGAAAGAAGAAAATGTTCTAAAATTGATTTGGTAATTTTGTAAAACTCTTCTTTACATGATTGAAATATTGAATGGTATAATATGTAGAATATCTGGAAATAAAACTATTGAGTTTTGTTTGTTTTTAAGGCCACAAAAACTTAGTAAATAAATACAAGTAAGCTACCTTTTCTAATAGCGAAAAAAAGACTAATAAAAAAACATCCAATTTAGAATTATTCTCTTCAATCCAGTATTAGATAACTGTACAAGTCAACTTAATTGGTTTATTGATGAAAAAACATTTAACTTTACCCAAAGAGATGCGAAAAGATCCTTGATGCCAGGTTTAGCTTCCTGAAGCTTAAGATCAACATCAGAAGAGCTTTGTTGCTGATTTTTTTCATCAGTTTTCATTTCTGTACCAATATAACAAACAAAGACATCATTGAAATATTTTAAATAACTAAGACAGAGATAAGCATATGAGGGACTTTAAGAGTTGACAAAAATGCTCCATTATATTTTAATGACATTTTCCCACAAACTTTCTAAAGACTTCAAACATACACACTTCATGAACCCTATTTGTTTTGGAAGGGCAAAAAAGAAATGTTTAAATATACAAAAGTTAAAATATTTTAATCACTAAGAGGTGTGGTTACTTTGATTGAGCAAATTACATTTTAATATTTAATTTAAAATTTAAGTGTGGGAAGTGGCTACTTTATTCAAGAGAGTAGTTCTAGCATCTAAAATTGTATTTTTTAGGAGACAATAATATTTCTCAAACTTTAAGTGCAATTTTAATCTTTCCAAAAGAATTTGAATATTATTATTTTATAAAACAGTATATTTAGGTGGTAGTATATATATAAAATAAATCTAAGTGTATTAAATTAAATATGCTCCATTATTTTAAGAGAAATTATGAGCTACAGACAGAAAAGCATTTCCTTTCTAGAAGAAAATAATGAAAAAAATACATACTAATGGAAGTCTAATATTTAAATATAATAATTAAATATAAGCTTAATGAATAGTATTTCAATAACAGTAACTCTATAACAGACCACCAGAAATTCCCAAAGAGATGTAGTTTAGTGGTGCTCTTAGAATGTGAAAGAAAGATGATTACTGTCTTTTTATTTAAGAAATCATACTTTTATATAGTTACCTGGTAAAGAACGTGGAAAGCAGAACAGTGGTATAAATGGCAACCATGAGATAAAAGCAGCAATAATAAAATGATTCCTCCAACTGTGCAGCCAATGCAGACTCCTCGTGCTAATTTTAATAAAGAAAAGTGATATTTTTCAGGTTTGGGAATCTTATTACAAAGAGAATGCCATATCAAGCACACACACACAAAGAATTATTGACATTTTCCTGATAATGTGTTGCTATTGTTTGGCTGGTTGTTTTATGAGATGGAATGACTGTGCGTCTTCCAACTGCAGGGATTTTATTTTCTTGAAGTATTTCCAAATTGTCCCTTTCCTTCTTCCAGCACCACGTCTTTCTTGCTTTGTTCTCCACCAGGAGTTGCCCACTGAAAGGCTACCACCCTTTGGAATTTCACCTTTCCTTTTTAGTCATGCACTTATCCCTTTATGAGCCACCTTTCCCTTTAAATCACACTGGCCCTCTCTAAAGCATGAAACCAAACACCAAACCCACTGTCAAGATGAGCCCTAAAGGTTACACAAAGTTTGAAATGTATTCCTATTGTTTCTTCTCAGCCCCTTTAGATGAAAGCATGAAATGAATTTATCCTTCTGATGATCAGATTCTAGGAGGTCATGTTAGCCTGTCTCCTGTCTTATCAAGAGTGTCTACGTTTGCCTTCCCTCATCACAAAGGAAGGAATGCGAAGGACCCTAGGATGAGGTCTCTCTCTCTCTCTATTTATTTATCTCTCCTCAGTTACTTTGCAGTTTCTGCATTCTTTATATTGGAGTAATGCCAGTGATTTGGCTTTGTGAAGTAGTTTCATAGTTGTGAAATTATTGTGTATCATTTCAGGAAGATATTTGGAGAAGTTAACTACTACACAGTCAAGCATTGCCTTCAGTTTCATACATATTTAAAACTGTCTTCATCCTGCCATTATGGGAAAATATTCATGATCACACAAGCTGCAATTCTGAGGTGCCAAAGTTTCACGTGGTGCACTCTATCACCAACCAGGACCTGGGTGGGGCTGTTCAGTTACATATCCCACCTCTCACAGAATGGCAGAAATATAATTCCCCAATCTTATTCACTGAAAGTACACCTCCTTCATCACTGCTAGTGTAAAGCCAAATTGCCCCCTGTGTCTGGTACCACAATCTCGGGCAGGCTGTGGTTTCATGTTTCCTAGTAGTTCAAAGTAGGATGTACCCAGAAACAGAAGCTAGCCAACCCGGGAGCGGCACAGCAAGCCCAACCTCCGAGGGGAGGACAACACGGCCAGGGCGGGAACTACGCAAAGGACCAGACTGCCAGCCTACCTCAAATGAGCCAATCAGTGGATTGATGGAAGGGGGAGGGCAGGGCTGGGAACGCCCCGTTACGTATACCTGTAAATAAATACTTTGGAATTTCTTTTGTGGGTGCTCTTTTCCAAGATGGTGCACGCAGTTAAGCACCTGAGGACTTGAGCCCTGGCTTAAGCTAGCATAATAAAACCTCTTCTGTAATTGCAGCCTTGGGTTTGATCTCCTTCCATTAAAAGGGTAATTGCTCCAGGTCCCTAACACTAGAATTACTTAGAGATGCAAACACCAATTTATAATAATAAGTGGTTGCATTCTTGATTTCCACTTTCAGTAGACATATATATCTGAGTATGTAATACCTACTAACCCAGTGGCACAGCCGTTTGAAACCCCAGTCACTCTTCGGGAGAAAGAGGAGGTTTTCTAGTCCTGCAAAAATTAGTCTAGGAAACCCACAGGGCACTTCTCCCCTGGCTTGTAGGGCAGGTATGAGTGAGAATCAACTCAATGGTGGGGAGTTTGGTTTTCTGGTTTGAGGAAGTTTCAGTTCCAATTGCTGCTGCTGTTGGGGTTAGTAGGGGTCGCTGTTGGGGTTAGTAGGTTCTAACCAATAGCAACAAAATGCACAAAAGAACAAAATACTGCGCGGTCCTGTGCCATCATCAAAATTGTATGCTTAAGCTATTGCTGCAGCCACTGTGTCAATCCATCTTGTTTAGGCCCTTCCTCTTTTGTGTGGCCCCGCTACCTTACCAAGTATGATGTCCTTCCTCAGGACCTAACCTCTCCTGGCTACACATCCAAAATAGGTGAGACAGTCTCCCCATCTTTGCCTCTAGCTGTACTTCTTCCAAGATATATTTGTTTGCTCTTTTGGAAGTCCATGGTATTCAAAACTTTCTTTGCCAGCACTATAATTCAAATGGATCAATTTTCTTTCCCCTTTCCTGCTTCAATGTACAATTTTCCTGTGTCTATGTTGCCATTGAAAATACCATGGCAAAAAAAAAAAAGAAAATACCGTGGCTTGGATCAGGTGCACTTTAGTCTTCAAAGTAAACGCTTTGTTTTGCAACAATCTAAAGAGGTCTTGTGCAGCAGATTGGTTAATGCAATGTGCTGTTTTATCGCTTGAGAACGGCTTCCGTGAGTATTGATTGTGTATCCAACCAATATAAAATCCTTGACAACTTCAACCTTTTTTCCATTTATCATGATGTTACCTATTGTTTCAGCTTTGAGGAATTTGTTATTATTGACATTGAGCTGTAATTCATACTGAAGGCTTCGATCCTAGATCTTTATCAGCAAGTGCTTCAAGTTATCCTCATTTTGAACAAGTCAGCTTGTATCATCTGTGTATCAGAGGTTGTTAATAAGCCTTCCTCCAGTCCTGATGCCACATCCTTCTTCATGAAATCCAATTTCTCTTCTGGTTTGATAAGCATACAGTTTGAAGAAGTTTGATCATTGAATAAATATGACGAAAAGATACAACCCTGAGACACACCTTTCCTGATTTTAAACCATATAGTGTTTCCTTGTGCTGTTTCCACAGCTCCCTCTTCATCCATGTATAGGTTCTGAATGAGCACAACAAAGTGTTTGGGAATTCCCATTCTTCTAATAGCTACAATAATTTGTTCTGATCCACACAGTTGAGTGCCTTTGCAAAGACAATAAAACACAAGTAAACATTTTTTCTG